TTATTCATAGCGGGGGCAAAAAAGGAACACAAAGAAGAAAGAAAAAACTCTTTAAATAGGACTAAGGAACGCAAAGAACAAAGAAAACATACGTTTGTGGTGCTTCCGGGTGGATTTTTTTGATGAAATTTTGTGACAATTCTCTAAAAACATATTGTCATATTTTTAATCGTATATATGTAATTATTTCATGTAGAATGATCCTGTCAGAATTATCTTACGGGATCCACTGCATGGATGCATACGTTTGTGGTGCTTCCGGGTGGATTTTTTTGATGAAATTTTGTGACAATGTTCTTCATAGTATGTAGATTATTCACATAAAATTTTGGTTTAAAACTCAATCAGCAAGTTGATTAAATAAACTATTGAGAAACACTGCGCCAAAAAATAAATAAAAAACGCAATATTTTTTCATAATTTATTTAATGGACTTCCCAATTGAAATATAAGATGAAATTCGGTGGATGTAATCTACACTTTAAGAAATACATGTTCACAAAAGTTCATCAAAAAAATCTACCCGGAAGCATCTCAAATGCAAGCTTCTATCCGATAATTTTAACCCAATTTTTTTTTTCTTATTTCATATGTAATACTAATACTACTTAAAACTAAAAAGGTTGGGAGGGGCCATGGCCCCCCTAGCCATACACACACCTCCGTCCCTGCGGTCGGGTACACGATCTTTAAACCCGAATCAGCCACCAAAACACCCATTTCATCTTCCCCAAACCCAAATTTTTTGAAATCCCTCCCCCCAACCTCCAATTTCGAAGTTTCTTTCTCCCATTACTCACTCGAAACTCCACCAAATCCCCTCGTACCACAACCAAAACACTTCACTCACTCTCCTCTACAAGACAATAAATCACCAAAAAAAAATCTCCATCTCCACATATATTTACCAAAAAAACCGACACCCTACCCCCCTTACCCCCAAATCCGAATTTCAAAGCTTCCAAAAGGAAATAAATGACATCGAAGAGAGATAGGGGAGAAAGCTCAACTGATAGGGGCCCTAATTCAAGGCTACAAGGATGATCGATTCAGCCCAGTTATGACAAAGATGAGCACTAGGGACAGTGCTACGAGCTAAGTGAGGGGGAGTCACTCATTGGTACGTACTTAAGTCGGATACCTTGTAAACTAGCATTGTTTTCTTCGCACAAAAATTTTAAGGGAAAAACACAAAGAAATGCTAGTTAGGTTGAAAACCCAAAAATGGGCAACCTAAGCAAAAGGGGCTTACAAAAAATGATGAGTGAGTGAAAAGGTGGAAAAATAAAAAGTGATGCTAGGATGAAAACCTGAAAAGGCTCCTAGGCAAAATGAGAGATATGAGAGATATATTTGTTTTTACAGGACATCATTTAATCTCTTAAAAATGAAAAGAGGAGATGAGCATAGAAGGCCATGAAACCCAAGAAGATATTGTTTTTTGAGCTAAACACTCAATGTAAAACTCATATGTTATCCTTGGTGGTCTTTTGCTTTTTATGGTTAATTGTTGAACTTTTGAGGACTTGGAACTGTTAAACATTTGACTTTACTCAAGGACGAGTAAAGAAGCTAAGTGTGGAGGAGTTGATATTCATGTAATTTCCGATTGTATGTTTTCATTTTTAACTAGTTTTTATTAGTTCTAGTTGTGGAAATTACACACTTTTGGTGCAATACTCTATTTTCATATTTATTTGTAAATTGTTTAGATTAGGACTTTTCTAAGCTAAACAGGTCAAAGATCATCTAAAGGATCAAGATTGGGCCTCAAAAGATCAAGGAAAGCGCAATGAAGCAAGAAAGATTTCGATTTGGATAAAATACTCTTATACCTGGTCGGGTATAAGCAATACCGGATCGGGTATTTGCTTGATTCGATTGTCCAAATCAAATCCGAGGAAAAATTTACTTGGGAGCAAGATTTCGTAAAAGATTTGTCACATACCTGATCGGGTATGCCGACATACCCGGTCGGGTATGCCCAGAAAAGTGACTTTCTGGGAAATTTCCTAAGATACCCGATCGGGTATCCTATATACCTGGTCGGGTATCAGACCCTGCAGCTCCCAAAAGCCTATAAATACACTCCTTCCTTCACAATAAAATCACTAATTCTTTTATACTTCTAAGCTCAGTCTAGATTAGTTCTTTCTTTATATTTTTATCATGATTAGTCTCCAAATGAGGAACTAAACTCTTCCATCTTGGTTTTGCTACTTTGAAGCTTAATGAATTTGTAAGTTGTGAGTTATTCTCTTTAATTTTCTTCCTTGAATATTAATTCTTCCTTTAAATACTATTTCTATATCAATGTTGGGGAGTGTTACTAAGATGACAATTAGTTAACATCTTGACATTAGTTATAGTAATAGTTATTTCTTCCTCTATGTTAATATTGGGGAGTGTTACTAAGATGACAATTAGTTAACATCTTGATATTAACTATAGTAGGATTCATCTTCTTTAATATTCTTCCTTGAATATTAATTAATTCATATTCATATTTCATATTAATATTTTGAACATTACTTAAAGGATCAACTAGTTTTGTTTCATATATTAATTATTACTAGAATCGATCGACGAATATGGTTGTTAACCGTTCAATCGTTTCACGGTAGTAAACTTGGGTTATTAATGCATGTGTTTCATGGTTAATAAACCAAGGGGAATTAATTATGTTGATTAAACCAATAAACCGCTTGTGTTGAGGTTATCAATCTCAATCGTTTTCATCTTGATTTTATTTCTACTATCGGGTTAATATACGGCGCATGTTCTATATTAACTCGGTAGTAAGTTTTATTAATGAACGCGTCTCGTTATTAATAACTACCCTCGATGAACTGGATATACTCCTCGATTGAGTATTCGAGAGGAAGATAGTTAAAGATATAACTGGGATCGACGAACATTTCATTAAGTGGATAAAAGCAAAACCAAGTCTTCATCTCTATTAAAGTAAACCACATAAGTCGTTCATCTTAGTGTTAATTAATTAAAATCAAACACAATTGAAATCCCCCCTTGTTACTAGTTACAATATAAAAGAAAAATATTTCTTTCCCTGCTGATACGAACCTTACTTCAATATACTACGTATATTTTTTGTATGGATTATAATTTTGAGTGCACACCACGATAAAGTGCACGTCAGTTAACCCAAAACCGAACTGATAATTCGGTTATCCAAATAAGTATAACCGAAACCGAACCATTCAGAAATGGGTACCGAATTATCGGGAACCTATATTTCGGGTTGGTTTACCAAAACCCGAAAAATTAACCGACTTCCAATAAATAAACAAAATTTTTGAACTTTTCAATACACTAGGCCCAAGTTTTCAAAAGCACAAGCCCAGTTTCACTTTGCCTAACAATCTGGTGGACTATCAGGACTTACACGATTAGGTGGTAGGGACAAAGAGTTGTGGAAACAAAATGGAAAACTGAGGCTTTGAATAAAAAAGCAACGCCCCCAGGATTCAGACACAGGACGGTCCGAAACAATAACTCGCTTGGCAACCATGAACCATCTGAGCGGAGAGCTTTGTTTGCTTCCTTTGGACTGCATTTCATTTTATATACATTTAATAAAGGTCATTAACTATAGAATTTATTATAATTATTATTAATAAAGTGTCGGTTCAGTTCAAATCGATATATTGGCACTATAAACCGATTTTGAACCGTTTTTTTTTTCGGGTCAAAATTTTCGGGTCCCAAATTTTATCGGTTCGGTTCGGTTTTTTAAAAAACGGTTCGGTTTTTTCGGTTTGGTTTTCGTTTTTCGGGTCCCAAATTCAAATATGGTATAAGAGAATTATAGGGGGAGGGAGTAGTATTTTGAAAATGCTTTTCAAATTTCTTGCACTCTGCTCATTAAAACTTGGCGATCTTTGAATTTTTCAGTCAATCAGGTTAAATTTTGACCAATTATATACTACACATGTCCCAAAAAAATTTGTCAATTTATTATAAGTTTTTACTATTTTTTATAAAATTATAGATACAAAGTTGATTTCTCTTATCTATTTTGCTTTTACTTGTTGCATTATTAATTAATACGAAGTAGTTATTATAGATTTAACATTTTTTATAAAATTATAGATAAATAGTTGAATAATCATTTAGTTGACTTATTGATTGTCATTGATGGTTGGTTTGTTGAATTGTGAAATACTAAAATTGTCAATGTATTTATAGGGTTGTTTGGTTACGTATTTACTATAGTTGGGATAACTGGCCCGAATTAGGAGTGGTCCATTATCCCTTTGATGAGAAAGCCACCAAGCCCAACTTGGGAGCGGCCCAACAAGATGGTCTACCCGACGGCCGACGATCGTCTAGCTTGGGTGACGCTCGGCATTTGTACCCTTGTCCAAATAGGGCCAGATGATGATCCAAGAGCCTCGAGGAGGGCGTTCAGCATGACCCTAGCAGCGGGCCTGACCTTGTGCTTACTTTGCCCCGGATGAGAAGATCAAGTGGACGCTCGTATGGAACCCTTGGCGAGAATCCAAGATATTGGTGGAAAACGCATTTAATGCAGTAGATTTGGTGATTGGAAAGTTAGCCACTCATGAACCTCTACATCACCACTACCACCTACCCCTTGTAGTACAAACAACGGCATTTATTTCATAGTTAAGAGTTGGCAACTTGTTTATATGATCCTATTTAGAGCAATTTCTATTAATTTATATATTTCAACTTGTTGGAATTTCAAAACATTTTTGCTCCTATTTAGAGCAATTTCTATTAATTTAATGAATTATAAGTATTTTCTTTATTATAATGTTATTGAAATGTGATTATTATGCATCTTAATTCAGAAAAAAGTATTTTTCAATTTTTTTAAGTCACCCCATTTTATTTCCAATCCCTAGGTCCTGAAATTGTCGAGACCAACTCTATACCAAGTGGAGCCATTATCCTTTAGACAGTATTCACCAAAGCAACTAGTCAAGACAAAGTGATCATGACACCAAAAACATGGATAACTTTTTTTTGTTAACACCAGGTGATTCCAATTCCTAACTTCATAAACATGTACAAGCTAAGAGGAGCCAAATACAGGACGTCAAAAACACTACTCCCCCGTTAGATTTTCCCGTGTTTAACAAATAGCGCTTAGGTGATGTTTAAACATTTTGACATGGTAACTGCATTATCAGAAGGCTAAGAGCCTAAGATTGGTAGGAAAATGATAGAAAAACGGCTGTTTGACGTAACAAGGCATCTCACGAACAAGGCATCTCACGAACAACAAATGGTAGCTTTCCGACCTGTCAAACATGCCCTTTTCTACAACTCTTCGAACTGAATTGAGAATCCGCAACAACAGCGCTTTGTGCGGTTGGAACCATCTGCATCTAGAGTCTGATCATCCTGCAGGAAGAACACGTGTTCATGGCGGTCTTCTTCTGCAGCTAAGAAAAATTGATTATTCTTTTCCAACGTCTTTTCTTGATTCCCTTCTGCTTGACTCGTCGTCATCTTCACTGAGCTGTCAGGGTCGAGGTTTTGAGCTCTAGATGGCCCACCACTTGCATAGGCATTGTTTAACCTTTGGCGGGTGATAATGGATGAGAGAAGTTGATACCACCTTGAGAGTGCTTCTGCTTCTGCTCTGTGTTTCTCTACCGCATCTCTTCTCTCCTCCTCTTCTGCATATGCCTTGACAAACGTATGCTACCATGTTAAGAGATTATTGAATTGCATCTTGATGAGAAAAAAGGTGGTGTCATTAGTCCTAATTGCGTTTGGGTCAGTGGCATGACAGTGACATTTAGAATGCTCACGTGGTTCTTTTTATTAGCCAATTTTTATATCAAAAGCTAACTTATTTTACTGCATAAGCAGAACTGACATAAAAAGGCAACTAGTGCAGGCTTATATCACAGTTATTATTTCATTGAATATGTACAAGTGTTTTGTTTGTGTATGCTGATAGTTCAGTCCATTCAACAATTTCTGCCAATTCAGTTAAATTTTACCTCACCAAAAACGTCATATGTTCAATCAATTGTCTAAGATTGATTAGTAAGGGGGTGTTTGGAACAGATTCTGCTTCTTATTTAAAGTAAAGCAGAATCAGAATCAGTTTTTCAGAAGCTGGTCTCCCCCAACTTCTAAAAAAACTGCTCTATTAGAGCACCATAAGTACTTCTACTTCTAGCAGAAGCAGTTTTAAAAATCGGATCCAAACAACCCCTAATACAAATTCATGCAAAAACTTGATAAAACAAACGTTATGAGTAAAGATTATGATGAATTCAGATGGTTCGTACTCGTCCTGTACAAAAAAGTCATGTTTAACCAAGGGATACCGGTCAAGGTAAAGCAGTTATGAATATACCCCCCAGAACATGTGTTACCTTATAGGTTACATTTAAAGTAATTGACAAAATCACCTTGTAGGTTTAACGGAATGTGTTATTCAAAATGAAAGTTTGTCAATAGGTTGGGTTTGGTCACGTACCCGAACCAGACCCCCCATTAATTCCGTTTTATCTAATCCCGAACTCAGACCCCTAAAAGTCCTAAAAGTATCGAGTATGATACATGTTGTTCTGACATGTAACGATTCAACCCGTTTATAAATCTCTATTTCATTAAAGTTATACATACATACCGCGCACGCACATTGGTAGAAAAAGATAGATATAATAATAAAATAAGAGAGTACAACTGCTAATGATCAAAGATAGAAAATAAAATAGGACGTCTTATTTGGACTTATTTCAATCAAAGACCACACCAGATCAGACCACACTTAAACAGACCAAGCTAGACCACACTAGATTTTGATGGTCTAGGGTAGATGCGGGAAAAGAGTACGACACAATGACATTATGTGAACCTGAATTGTGCATTAGGTGAAACTAAAACGTACACGATAAAATGTACAACTCGATGTGACTTTTGTACCTCATATATTGCACATTTCAATATCACTTAATGTACATTTGAGTTTTTAGCTTTTATTTTGTACATTTCAATTTCACCTAATGCACCTTTCAATTTTACCTAATGCACTTTTCAATTTCAACAAATGTACAATTTAATTTCACACAATACAATCTAGCGACCTAGATTATTCTCATTTCTCTCATGAGAGTCTTTTCTCACCGAAATCGTTCCTTATTATATAGGGTTCGGTTCCAATAAAAAGGGGTCTTCCCATAAGAAATGTGAACGTCTCCACTTTTGATCTTCTGAAGTGCAATATTGTACCTAGATGATTTTCGTCGTCCAATTTTTCTCATCCAGGGTACACTTTTGAAGTTCACTTTTTGCAAAGAAGAAAAACTTTGACTTAATTACAAAAAATGCTACTGAATTTTTAACCTATTTTAATACATTTTTGACATATTTAGAGTCATTATATCTTAGATTTGATGCACCAGATTTATTCGAACTTCTCATTGAAAGGAGACTTTTTATTTGATCCAATATGTGTGTGTGTGTGTGTATATATATATATAGGAAAATTCTCAAGTCCACCACCTCCCGGTCCGAACGCCGTCCGTACACCGCCGTTTGGGGCGGTTCCCGGTGGAATTTTTTGATGAATTTTTTTGAGCATGTTCTTCATCAAGTCTAGTTTATCTATACAAAATTTCAGCTCAAAATTCGTTCGGGAAGGCAGTCAAATAATTCTTTGAAGTTAACTGCGTTCCTGATCAAATTTTGAGCTGAAATTTGGTATGGATGAACAGACTTGATGAGGAACATGCTCAAAAAATTTCATCAAAAAAATCCGCCTGGAACCGCCTCAAACGGCGGTATTCGGACAGAAAAGTGCTGGACAGAAGAATGACTATATATATAGAGAGAAAGAGAGAGAGTTTGGTTCAAATAAAAAAGTTCTAAACGTGAAAAATGAGAAACATCTTAGCCATTGATATCACTGTTCCTCACGTGAGATTCTTTGGGCATTTAAGGTATTTGATTATTGTAACTATATATGGTAACCACTCTCATTGATGGTTTTAAGAGAAGATGGCAGTTAAATTTGGAAACCTACTACGGATCATTGATTTAATATACTATCCTCCGTTCCATAAAAGTTGCAACAGTTTGACTTTCACGTTTGCCAACGCGCAATTTTGATTGTAATTATATTTATTTACGTATTAGTAAACATAAAAAAAAGTTAATATATTGGAAATTTACATTAATACAAATTTATTAATATTTTATACATAATATTTTTATTATATATATTATTAGAAAATCGTAGTCAAAGCAAGGTGTGTGAATAGTGCAGAAATTACAATGTTGCAACTTTTATGGAACGGAGGAAGTATTATTTACAAATTTGATTGCTTAAAATATTTCAAAATTTTAATAACAAGGTAACATTTTATGTTTGTGATACTGAATATTTATTTACTACTATGCACATATTCTACCGATTTATGCATTGGAAGTACATTGTATATGCACATATATAAATGCATGCAATTGGTTTTGAATACGTGCATGTGTATTATACGGAGTAATTGTAGTGCAAAATCGTGTATGTGTATGTGCATCTATCCTAAATTATTTAATGCACAATTAATAAATTAATAAATTTTAATAAAAAATAAAAGCTTTACACCTATGTGTGTGCTTCTTTTTTGAATTATTTACATTACTTTTGGCACAATAACGTGATAATAGTGCAAGTACTCCTACATCAATGTGCATCAAGTATTACTATAATATACTATTTACTTAACTAATAGTGATACTATGTATCTTGTATTGTCCTTTTTAGCATATTTTACTGCACTAAATTCATCTCAAATTATACACTTGGCCGAAAGAAAATCCAAAAAGGTTTTTCAAAACTCACCATCAATGATTTACGAATTTTCAAATGTTAAAAATTGCAACTCTTTAATGATAAGTGCAACGTGGTGTCATAGTGATAGGGATTCATTAATAAATTGCCATTAGTGAATTAAAAACCTACCCCCAACTTCCTTTTATGAGTGATGCACGTGTGGGATAGAATTAATAGTATGCTATGCATCGCACAATATGCGGTGCACTTTATATGTGATGTCCGTTCATTTTGTTGAATCAAGGAACCAAATTTATTCTTATTTTACGCATTAAGATGTCTTCTCATTTCAACTCAAACCTATATATATAGAATAAGGATCAAATGAGAAGAGTGCTTATCGTAAGAAGTAAGAATGCATCTGGTGCGTTCATTTTCAGATCTGTGCATCAGATTAGCAAAAAGTGCACGGGAAAGTGCAAAAAACATTTAAAAAATGATGCTAGACGCGGTGGCATTTTCGTAATTAATCGGAACTTTTCTGCCATCGCAAAAAGTGCATCAGAATAGCAAAAAGGTGCATCAGAAATAGATAAATGTGTAACTTCTCACTTCTCACGTTAAGATGTCTTCTCATTAGGAAAGTGTGTGTAAAAGTATGAAAAAGAAGATAAAAAGTAGATAAAGTAGAAGGGTAGTTGAGTATTTTATAAAGGGTAAACTTACCAAAAATGGAAGTGTAAGGAACTTTAAAATACAGCCCAAAAAGGAAAGTGTAGGGAACTTTTAAATACGGAGGAAGTATATATAACAAGGTTTTGAGAACTTTTAATCTTCATCATTCATTTTTTTGAGAACTTTTAATCTTCATCATTCATTTTTAGAACCCCTATTAAAATGACAACCCTTTTTTGAGAACTTTTAATCTTCATCATTCATTTTTAGAATCAATGGAAAATAATAACAAGGTAACATTTTTGTAATTATTTAGCATTAATTGCAAAAAGGCCCCATTTGAATTTAGGGTAATTATGAATATGATCCCATGTGAATCATCATCAATGATTGCAATAAATGAAATGATGAGATTAAAAGTTCTCATTATAAGAAGTTCCGGTCAGAAGTTCTCGTTTTAGGAGGGGTTCTCACTAAAACCCTCCTATATATATATATACATATATATATATATATATATATATATATATATATATATATATATATATATACACATACATACATATAGGGTTTGGTTCTAATAAGAAGACATCTTAACGTGAGAAGTGAGAAGCTTCACATTTGTTTCTTTCTGATGCACTTTTTTGCTAATCTGATGCACTTTTTGCGATGGCAGAAAAGTTCCGATTAATTACGGATATGCCACCGCGTCTAGTATCACTTTTTTAATATTTTTTGCACTTTCTCGGGCACTTTTTTGCTAATCTGATGCACAGATCTTAAAATGAACGCATCAGATGCATTCTCACTTCTTACGATAAGCACTCTTCTCATTTGATCCTTATTCTATATATATATATATATATATATATATATATATATATATATATATATATATATATATATATATATATATATATATATATATATATATATATATATATATATATACATACATATAGGAAAATTCTCAGGTCCAGCACCTCCCGGTCCGAACGCCGTCCGAACACCGCCGTTTGGGGCAGTTCCCGGTGGAATTTTTTGATGAAATTTTTTGAGCATGTTCCTCATCAAGTCTAGTTTATCCATACCAAATTTCAGCTCAAAATTCGATCGGGAAGGCAGTCAAATAATTCGTTGAAGTTGACTGCGTTTCTATATATATATGTGTGTGTGTGTGTGTGTGTGTTTTGGTTCAAATACAAAGACCTCTTCCCATGCAAAG